TGCCGGGATCTGCCTGCCCTGAGGAGGCAGGCGAGAAGCCCTCTTCGTCCCCCGTATCGCTGGTGGGTGGGGGAGAGCTCCCTCCGCAGTGCCTGCCCGCCCCGGGTCTGCTCTGGCGGTGTGAGGGGCGCGGGGCCTCCCTGGCGCCCGGCGGGTGGTACCTGTGGAGGGTCTGGTCTGGGGGCCCTGGGGAGCTCCTTCACTGCCCGCCTTCCATTCCCTCAGCCCGGGGACAGGGAGCTCACCTCCGAAGGTCAGTGTAGAAGGAGCTGCTTGGGGTGTCCTCTCGTGACTAAAACCGTCTGAGAAACAACTTTCCCTTTAGAACGAGCTGTTGCTGGCGCCTTGGGAACGCTGCTGTGGTGAGATTGGGTCATTCTAAACCCGGTTGTTGCTGGTGTGCTAAAGTCTCGAATTAGCTTTGCTTAAGGAGCCGGGAAAGGCGAATCCTCCTCCAGAGCGCCTTTCTGAGTGGGTAAGCTGCCAGTCATTGGAATTATCACCCCACCCCTCCTAGTCTTTGATAATCAAGGATGTGAGAGGCAAACAGCTGTCTTGATAAGTGCCTCTGTTAGAAATCCATTTCTTTTGTTCCATTCCTATGATCTGTACCTGCCACTCCCGAGTAACTTTGATGAGTTGAAACATGCCAACCACTGTTTTATTCAGCCTGGTGAGAGTGAAGCTGTTAATTTGTCTGAGGGTATTTTTTTCTGGTTGGTGAATCTTGGGAAAGCTGTAGATAACATTGTGTGTAACTGATATTTAGCTGCTTCCATGGCAGCTTTTTCTTCTTGCTGCTTCTATTTAAATGCTTCTGGTATTTCCTGCAGGAGAGAAGAAAAGTTTATCCGTGGCAATGATAGATCCTTTGGAGAACAACTTGTTTGATCTTCCTGATTATGAGAATACAGAAGATGAAACGTTCCCACCTCTTCCACCTCCTGACTCTCCAGGAAGAGAGGATGTTGAATGGGCTCAAGCTAATGGAGGTGAACACCTGTGACCCCTAAAGATCTGATTTTGCAGTATAGACAATGAAATGCTGTGAAATCAATATTATTAGTGTTGTATTTCACTACCTTGAGTTTACTGTGTAAAAATAGTCTTGTGTAGATAAGAAGACAATTTGAATTGTTCCTGATTCTATGCTCCTGAACTAATGGGAAAAGTTTTTGTATATTCCATGAAGATATGCAGGCAAATGAATCTTTATAAAATTCAAGCTTTTCTGACAAAATGTTGGTGAAGATAATTATACAGCAGTGATCTGTAGTTACCCTTTATGACCTGGATTTTGGAATACCTAAGAGTGTTGAATGTAGATTTTGTGGACTGTATGACCTAGGAAAAATCCAAGACAGTTCAGGACAGTAAAACTTAATTATTTGTTTTTTAAAAGATATTACTGTGTACTGAACAAGCTAATAGAAAGTATAAATATTTTAATTTAACTTATTATTTAACTAGTCTACTCATATTTGCCTGTAGTGTTAAACATATGTTTTCCTTGATCCCTGCTTTGTCTGTTCACTGGAAGATAGGGTTTTGGATAGATTTAATTTCTTGATACACGAAAGGAACAACTTTTGAATTCCTGATGTTCAAAGTAACAAAAAGTAAACCAAGAAATGGGTATGATAACTAATTGCTAGCTCTGAGATGAGATGGGCAGTGGTTTGCTGCAATCAAATAATGCATGCTGGCCCTACTCAAAAAGCATATGGACTTTGGTTCTTCTCAGACACATTGATTGTGGTCACACATCGCCTCTTTTTCTATTGTTTGAAGGTGATGCTGGTGTTTTAGGTCTGTCTTTCAGATCTACCAGTGGAAACTTTGGGACATACCTGTCAAATTATGTTTATTGATTATTTGAGTTTCTTAACATTTGGAAGCAGCATCTACTCTCAATACATTTCTTAGCAGAAATACAATATAAAAGTTCTAAAATTAGTTTCCTTGAAAAGGAAATTTCCTACTTTGCTAGCTGGCAACTAAGCACTGTACAGTGGCTTGCTCACACCCTTTCCCCCTGCTTCCCCCCCTCATGGCGATGGGGGAGAGAATCAGAGGAAAAAAGTAAGAAAACTCACGGGTTGAGATAAAAACAGTTTAGTGATTGAATAAAATAAAAATAATAGTCATAGTAATAATGATAGTTAATTGTAATGAAAAAGGAAAACAAAAAAAAATCCAAGAAAAACAAGTGATGCAGCTGCTCACTACCCAGTGACTGATGCCCCGCCACTCCCCAGGCAGCGATTGCACCCCCTGACAAACTCCCCTGGCTAATATATTGAGCATGATGTTTTACGGTATGGAATATTCCTTTTGCCAGTTCGGGCCAGCTGTCATGGCTGCGTCTCTTCCCAGCTTCTTGTAGAGAAGAAGCTGGGAAGGCAGGGGCAGGATGAGAAGCTGAAGAAGTCCTTGGCTTAATGTAAGCATTGCTTGGCAACAACTAAAACATCAGTGTGCTACCAACGTTGTTCTCAGCACAAATCCAAAGCATAGCTTTATGCCAGCTACTATGAAGAAAGTTAACTCCCAGCTGGAACCAACACAGCTAGCAAAGTTGATATTTTAAAGAGACAGATTTATTTCCTGTCTGTCTTGTGGGAGAAGCAAGGTGAAATATGCGGAAGTTTGGAGTACTGTACTTGTGACATTGCCTTTTTGATAGGGTAGAAACTTAAAATGTACATGATGTAATTCTAGTTGATGTCATTTGGATTACATGCTTAAAGTGTGTTATTTTCTTCAACAGAACCAGATGGAAACCAGCAGTCACAAACAAAGGATCCCGCTGTGGCTCCACGGAGAGCGGTTAAGAGACCAATGCCTAAGCTAGATGCCCAGAGGTAATTTTTTACAAAATATTTCTTTCTGTGATGAATTTGGTGTATGGCTGTGGGGGAATGATTGAGGTTATTGTGATCCCTGCTTGGTCATAGCCAAGTCAAAGATTAAGAGTTTTAGAAATGAAAATGCCTCTTGCGTGGTGTGTCTCAGCATTTTTATTCCTTGCTTACCTGTGTAATGCTATTACTAGTCTAGCTTTCTTGAAGTCTCTTTGGGACTTAGTACATGATTAATAAATTAAAGAAGTATTTATTATTCATACATAGGACTCTTCCAGCTGCATCTTCTTTTGCTTCACACATAGTATTGTAGATTTCCTTCTTTAATTAACGTGTGCTTCAAAATAAAACCTCAATATAATGGTAACTGTAGGGTACTACTGAAAGTACACTTACACCTGACTTACAAGTTGGATAAATTCTGTATAAAGATGAAAGGTTTCAATATCGTCTGTGCTGTTATCACTAAAACTGGTGTAAGTTCTTGATAAGCAGTGGGAAGAATCGAAGCTTTCAGTTTCTTCTGTTTTAAGAATATTGATGAAGTTCTTGATACCGCTGGTGGGTGCTCTGCTCATGCATCTGACTCTTTTACTTGGTCAGTAGAGACACTAGAACTGACTTTCCATGTGATCAAAATAAAAAAGCTCTTTGGACTGGGAAATATATGTTTGAGTTTTCCAAAAAATCTTTGGTCTTGCAGAGTCTTTATCTTATTTTGTGTGTTAAGACTACTTCTAATTCTGTACGTTTTTCAAATACAGCTCTGTAGCTTTAGGCTATTTAAAGGGATGTGAGGTTGTTTGTGTGGGCTTGTGGGACTTTTGTTTTGTTGTTTAATTAGAAAAAGGAAGTATGGGTTTCAAATAACTTCACCCTTTTCCTATTAACAGGTTAATTTCAGAAAGAGGACTTCCAGCCCTAAGACATGTGTTTGACAACGTAAAGTTCAAGGGTAAGGGGCATGAGGTAAGTCATTTCGAGCTTTTGTTTTGTTTCCTGGGAGGTTAATCTAGACTTGATAGATTGCCGCCCATCTGATATGGGGAGAATTGGTGTTACACTCTGGTTAGCCAGCTTTCTGACAGTATTTGAATGTACCCTGCTGGAGTTTGTAGTTGCAAGTTTGAAAAAACAAACAAACACGATTTTTTTAACAAAACCCATATTTTTATTTTAAAACTATTTTCTGCTACTTCAGAACTAGAATATAATGTCTGTGACTCTGTATTGTCCATAGAAGGTTTTTTGTTTTTTGTTTTTTAAATTGGAGCAGACTAATAAGACTGCCTACTATGTCCGGAATGCCTTATTGTCTTAATTATCATTATCCCCTGTTAGTGAAAATCTTCTGGCTGTTGTGATAGCCCTGTCCCAAAGTTTCTAATATTGAAACAAGTGTGACATACCAGTATTTTCTCTGCAAACTGTCTCATTGTCTTGGATACACTTAATCATACAAAGCTAATTTTTCTTTAAATATCACTAGACTATTGGCACGCTTGCAAGGGTGCCTGTGCATCTCTTGTTTCTGGAGAACATTAATGGTATAAATTTTCTCCTTATAACTGGAGGCACAAAAAACTGGGCCATACTGCTGACCTGAGCCAAAATCTTTACTAGAGAAGGTTATTTAGATGTAAATTTTTCTGTGTGTTCTGAACATCAAAACAAATGCCAGCTGTGCCTGCAGGGATTTTTTTCAGGCTGGGTTCAGTCCTAGGTTGCTTAAGGGCAACTTCTCAGAAGCCTCTCAGATGTTACAGAGTATATGCAAATACCTTTCCTGAACTCTGATCACTGTTCTTTTCAGAGCTTGAAATTGCACTCGCAGACTTGATTGTGCAAGGGAAGGTTACCCCCATGTTCTTATTACTTAAATTTTCAAGAGACGTTCAAGCTGCAGATGCTTCATGTTTTCAGAAGTGTTACTGTTCTCTTTCCAACTTGGTCAGCTTTTACTAGCTGGATGTCTTGTTCTATGCTTTAGGCAGAGGACCTGAAGACACTCATACGCCACATGGAACACTGGGCTCATAGACTGTTTCCGAAATTGCAATTTGAGGATTTTATTGAGAGAGTAGAGTCTTTGGGAAACAAAAAGGAAGTTCAGGTACGTATTGTTCCTGTCGATTTCTCTTCATGCAGTACTGAGTGGTGTAAGAGCTATATTTAGGAGAGCAGTTGTGCAACAAAGGAAAACTAAGTTGTGCATACTGCTAAGGAGAATAATGTTATTTAAATCAATTTCCTTTTTTTAAAAAAGGGCTTTTCAGTATTTGAAGTTAAGTTTACATTTAGAGATAACTTTTCTTTATTTGAAGTAGTACTTCAGATAATTGCCTTTGACTTTTTTCAGGACATCCTTAAACAAAGTAATTTAAGAGTGCTGGAACTGGTTGGTTTGGGGGTTTTTCTTGTTTGCTTGTTTTTAACATTAGAACCTGCAAAAGAAGGCTCATGAAGAATGCTGCTTCATCTGGCTAGGTGATCGATGAAGGACTAGGAAAACAATCCACAGCATTAAAAGTTATGGGTCAAATAGACATGTAGTGAAAGGAGTATTTGTTTGAGAAATAAAGTATAAAGAGAAATTGGGAGTAGCATCAAAAACATATCAGTGTTGCACAAAAGATTGTAACAGGTGAAATATCAGTATTTCAATCTCTCATTTGCAGACCTGCCTAAAGCGGATTAGACTTGATCTTCCTATTTTACATGAAGATTTTGCAAGTAATGAAGGTATGCTCATTATGCTGTTTATTGATTAGTTCAATGCTTACAATTACTTTACTTCCCCTCCTACTGACCAGAAATTAATGATCATGTTTCTCTAATGAAGAAGAAATTGCTGAGGGGCCCTCTATTTTAAAACCAGGCTTCTGTGAGACTTGAGATTACAAAACTGAACTGGTACTCGAACTAAAATGGTACATGTATATATAAAAATAGTGTGTGGTATACTGAAAGGAAATGGAAAATGGGTATTATTACCAGCATTGTTAGCAACGTTCTTCCAAAAAAACCCCCAAACCGGCCGTTATCAAGTGAACATTCTGGTTTGTGTCGTACTCTCACGAGTGTGCAGTGTGAAGAGTTCCTGGATCTTACGAACGCAGAAATGGAAGATTCATTGTCCTGTTTATATGCTAGGCTGTGGCAGTGCAGTCAGGGTGCAGTGTCCTTTACAGGGAAAGCGTTCATGCTTGTGGGCACTGTTACATGTATATGTCAGTCTTGGCGTGTAGCTACTAGTGAGTATTTCTTCTAATATAAAAATTCAGCCATTCAACAGTAGATAATTCAAGAGTCTCTCCTAATCAGATGATGTTTTTAGATAAACTTCTGATTTTTTTTTTTTTTTATAAAAAGAGGAAGCAGAGTTCACCTGGTAGTTTGACAGGACCTTTAGTAGCAGCAATGAGAGAATTTAAGTCATTCCGAAGGTCCTTTACAGGTGTTCACACTTTCACTGAGAGTCTCTCCTGAAACAATTACCTGGATATTGTCCAGTTTGTCTTCACGTGAACGTCAGCCTCCAGACAAGCCAGTGCTTGGGGAAGATGCTCAGAGGGATGAGCGAACCAGTGATAAAGCCTTGCCTTACCTGTGGGGTGACCTTTGGGCAGTTGGTGACGTGTGGCTGTCTTCACTGTTGGCTGCGTTTGCTAGAAGTGGAATGCAGCTGTCAGCAGCCACAAACAGCAAAGCCAATGGTTCCTGCCGACAGAGTCTGTAGAGCTATCAGATTTTTCTGTGCGATGGTTCCATACATTTGTATTTAAATGCAGTGCTGATATGTTCTTGAACTGTGTTAGTGAGTGTTCTGCTACAACTGGTCAGTCTTCAGTTAAAAAACTTGAGCAGGTATCTTGCAGTTTTGAAATAAAAATACAGCTGGAGTGTTGCATTAAGAGCCAAACCCTTGTTGGCTAACCTCTATTCACAGGCTTAAAGTGGTACAAAGGCACAAGCGTGCTTGGCCTTGGGCACGAGTCCTTTGCTTCTCTGTTGGTGGGTGAAGTTAGTCTAACGGAGTTGGACTGCCTCCATTTTGCATCTTTTAATGTTGGCAGATGAGTAAATATTCCATAATAGTAGCACTCTGAATTGAAAACTATTCACTGCCTATGCTTGAACCTCTGTCTGAATCCCGTAACTAGTCCTGCCACTTCCCAAAGGACAGTGTTGTATTAGTAGGGGTGGGAAGAAAACTATCTGGCCTTTTGGTAGGGATTGCCTGAATTTACTTTTTAACATTCAAGCAGAGCTGATGATTGCTAACTCAGTGCACAGAGCTGTGCCTCTCTGAATTCAGCCACTTGTTATTGTGGGTGGGATCTCTATAAGCATTTGTTGTTTACTTTGAATATCAGGTGTGCGGACCTAGGCAAAAAATTGCCCATTGAAACTAGATTATGGAATGATCTTTAGCTGTCAATACAACTTTAAAATATAGAATGTAGAAATGATTTTAAAATCTTCTCTTAACTGATACCTGGCAGGAGATCTCTCTGGGTTGAAAGTGTCAATTTCTGCCCCTCTTCCCCCCCCTCCCATATTTAACCAGATGGCGGAGGGGAAAGCAACGGACTGGACACAGCCACTGAAGATGTACATTCCTGCGCTGGAAACACGGAAGATCTCAATTCTCTCTCTGGTGCAACTCTCACAGAAGAGCAACAAGAGCGAATCAAGAAGAACAGGCAGCTGGCCTTGGAGCGCAGGCAAGCAAAGATGCAGCAGAACAGCCAGTCACAACACAATGGTGAGCAGGTCTCTCACTTACGTGTGAATGTTACGGTCAGTGCCCTGAGCGCTTGTACAGCTGAGCTGCTGAGTCAGTTTAAAGGCAGTGATTGCTTTACTAGTAAGTAGCAAAATGTGCAACTCTCAAATTTAAACTGTGTTCCTGTAGTTAGACTCCTCCAAAGCTAAGTAGGAACTACTCTCCCTAGTTGTCATGCCAAGTTGTGATAGCTTTTGTCTTTGAAATAAAACTCAACTTGCTGGTCATCTCTGGCATTGGCTTTCCTGCAGCCTGATTCTGGTGATAGAAGCTGCAGTTAAACACACAACAACAGTGTTTTCTCCTGGTAGGAAATTGGTTTTAGTGTTTGGTTTTGGTTGTTTTTTTTTCCAACAGAGCTCTCCACTGGTTACTCGGAAGAGTTTAATGCCCCCACTGCTCAGGGGCATCCTGACCGTATCGAAGACACTCGGGCTACTACAGATGGGGAAGATGGAGATAGAGAATTGGAATGTGCCAGTGAAACCAGTAACCATTCCCCAGACTTTGAATGACTTTCTCGACTGAAAGACCCCATGTTTTATGTACTGTCATTATACTGGAATGTTGCTGGCTCTCCGCTGTGACTCCAGAAGCTTCATAAAAGTTGTCACCACGATACCTGTATAGTTGGACAGAGCTTTTCTTCTCTTGAAACTGCAGAGAAGCTCCATAGACTGGTAAACAGAACAGAGTGCTGCATTGGCATTTGAGATATCTTTTCCACCTCCCCCAACATTATTTGGGAAATGTTAATGAGGTTTTTTGACCTCTTTGGAATTTTGTTTACAATGGAGGTCAAACTGAATTAACTGGGATATTGACAGGTGAAGTTTCTATTAAAGTTGTGGTGTTTGGTTGTTTTTAATAGAGGGTATATAGAATAAGGGGTAGTGCTATGTCTGAACAGGTGTCCCAGATTTTTTTAACTTGCTTATCAAGTACCTGTATCTTTTTCTGATAACATGAAAGCTATCAAATTTCAGAAGTCAAACCCAAAATTCTTTTATGAGGCTGCTCCAACTCCAGGCCCTCCCCCCTTCCCCATCCCTTTGCAGACAGGTACATCCCCTCAGGGGAACATGCTTTGGCTTTGACCAAATCAGTTTTTTATCTTCCTTCGGATGATTCAGTTCTCTGTCTTGAAGCTCTGTTTCATCCTGTTCTTACACTCTTGTCCTCCCTACTTGCACAACAGCTTTTCCCTTCTGTGGAATGAACAAGAATCAGAATACAAGCCCTGAGCTTGCCCTCTCCAGTAGTACAGACTCTTTGTAACAAACTGAATTAAGCCAAGAGCAGCACTTACCGGCGATGAAGTTCATGTCAACAGGTGTTTTATCCCCCAGGTGCAGCTGGGGGATTTGAACCAACATTCTGTAGTCTAGATTAGTGTGAGGGAGTTTGCTTTTTGTATCCTTGTAGCTATGGGTTAAACTCACTGAACTGGAGTGGAAGACAGCCAACAGCTGTAGGAAATACTTGGGTCATACAAACTTAAATTTGTGGACAACATGGAAAAGTAACTTTTTGAATGCTAGTTAAAAGAATTCACCACACTCTTTAGTCTGGAAGATGAGATTTATCATGTATAAAATCCTTTAAACACTCAGATAAAAATAATTCTTTAAAATAGACATTTAGTTTCTTAATAAAAGGACTCTTGAATATTTAAGTAAGTCAGCTTTTTAAAAAAATGTACTTATACACAGTAAATAGGAGCAGAACATCAACAAGCAGCTGGTGCTGGGTTATCGTTCAAGTTCTGATGTCAGCTGAAACATCTAATAGTGCCAAATCCCTGATCTCCTCCAGCAGCTGGTATAAGCTGGGGCCCTTGGTCTGGCAGTACTCCTGATAGTCCTCATCAATCACTTCAACTCTTGCTGTTTCCTGGGCACGCTGGGCTGCTTCTGCAGACTGACTGACTTCTTTTACTAAGTCGGATTTCGCCACTTGAAAATTCTTCTGGGAAATGTCGGTGTCTGAAGTCTGGTATGGTGCATTCCTCATTATTTCAAGCTTGATCGTGTCAGCGTGGCAGCGGGAAGTCTGCACAAGTATTTTCACCTTAAAAGCAATATAAAAATTATTTTATTTCTGATGGTGCTATTTCCTTTTACTTCCTTCAGATTAAATACTTACTGTAATATGATCAAAAAGGCTTAATGTAACTGATTCTCCAGTAGTTGTAGTGGAAGTAATTTTATTCTGAAAGCGATGAAGTGATCCAGGCTTCCACTCACAGCTCCTATCACCTTGGCAGGAGATGACTAAGCCTTCTTTGTTTTTCATATATGCAGCGCCTTTGATTCCATACCTACAAAAAAGCCGATTAGCTCTAACAATTTTCACCCTTATCAGTTCTCGTAAATTTGAAACCAACAAAGGGCTAGTTAGGATTATATGAAAGCAACATAAAGGGGCAAACATTCTGGTCTGATAATGCTGCTTCGGGGACTCTGCTGTGCATTGTCAAACCTATAGAATTTATGAAAACAGCATGAAGACAGTGACTGAAGTGTTTTGAAAGCACCAAAGCAAAAGTACAATACAGGCAGTGATCCATTATCTTCTGTTGGGTGGAGCCTGGACTGGCCAGCTGATGGAATTCCAGCAGTGCTACAGGTTATTCCAGACAGCACAGTGAGGGGGCAGTTCTGCAGTGAAAAGGAGTTAGAGAGCAGCAGTGTCCTGGCACTGGGCTCTCTGGCAGGCAGGCAGCCTTTCTTGGTTCTTAAGCCACACCTCCAAGCCCAGCCAGGGGGAATGCTGGAGGCGAGAGGCCTGCATGGAGCTGGTTTATATCCCAGCTCAGCCTGGGGCCAGGGTCCAGCAGCCCCTGGCTGTGTTTGTGCAAGTCCAGGGTATTGGTGTCTTACAAAAGGCAGTGCTCTCCAGTTCTACAGGGACTAGTGCCATCTTACATCATTCCCTAGTCAATTTATAACACAAGCAGAACACATTTAATATATTTCAAAATACAGATTTAAAAGCTCAGAAATTAAAAAGCTTCATGCAGGAGTTGCTTTCTACTACCATGGATCAGAGGCTGAGCTGAGAGACAGGTACTGAGAAGAGCCTAACAGCAGTGTAGTTTCAGGGGGGAGGGAGTTAACTTTCTCAAGGAACAGGTGTCCTCACAGCACTCTAGTACTAAACACTCATGTCTTATCTTTAAGCTCAGTCTGAACTCTAATCAACTCACCTTGGTACAAAAACAAGCACCCCATTTGTTCGAATGGAGTAAATAACACCATCTGCTACACAGCGCTCATCTGTTTCTGGGGTTTTGTCTTTGAAGTACATGCACTGGAAGAGTTCAGTAGACTGCTTCTGAGCACGCTGGGCTGCCTGCAAGCACCCCCCACAAGAAGAGAAGACAAACCCACCTAAATAAATATTTCAGTGAGCTTGTTTGGCTTCAATTTTAATAGTTTATTTTTCCCATTACTTAATCCCTTACTTGTCCCCTAGAAAAATTCCATCTAAAAGGAAATCCTACATGTAGTACAGGTGAGGTATGAAGTTACTTTCATTACCACTCTCAGAAGAAAACTGATATTTAAGTAAAAAAAAAAAAAACAACAAAGCATTATCAATAAAAATGAGTGATACTGTGTCACTGTAGTACCCAAAAACTGCCGTCGGGACAGGTATCCCATTCTGTTGGGCTGGGTACAAACATACAGAGACAAGCACAATGCCCATCTTACCCGGTTTCGGTTATTAATGTGTCTGCACAATTCCTGAAGATCCTTATTGCTGAATATATAATCCTTAGCATCTCCTTTAGTTTCATCCAGAGTTGCTGCCGTCAAGAGCCTGTGGACTACAATATCAGCATATCTTCTGATCGGAGAAGTGAAATGAGTGTACTTCTCTAGGGCAAGTCCTACAGATAAAAAAGAAAGCGTTGTTAAGCTCTCAAACCAACCAACTGCCTCCTGCCAACAGTTCAGAAATAACAACAGGAGTAGCACAAAAAAAATAAAGGGACAAGATACCATAATGATGAAAGTCTTCCTCAGGGCAGGAGCCAGTTGAGAAGTACAATGCATTAGACATCGCGTGAGTGGCCATAGATCGCAGCAGTTTATTTACAATTGGATCCAGTGGGTCATTTGCTTTATCCAGGGATTCAGCCAATGCCTTGTTAGAACTGTCAAAAAAGTGTTAATTCTGAAAAAACTATGCTATCCCTGATCATAATACCTTATAGTTAAAAATAGCATACAAAAGCACATAAAACTGATCAATAGTTAGAAAATATGAATGACAAGCAGAATGATATTAAAACTTTCAACACAGTTTAATAACGGCTCTGCTCTAGAAAAATGTTCAGAAAAATCCCCAGTTTTCACCAACAGGCCTGTCTTCTGCAGCCTGAAGAACTAAGGACTGGAGCAAAACCCGCTTCTGTGTGGTACTAAGATGGTAGCTGGTCCAAATCCTGTTCCGTACAGGAGAGCAGCCATGGGACAAGGTGACATCCAAGTAAAAGGAGGCACCACTGATGCCCTTCACACTCCGTGAGGCCCAGAAATGATGCCCCCCAATGTGATGAAGCTCACAGCCTTCTCAGTATCTTAACAAAATAATTCTGAATTGGATTGAGTCACTTCAAATGCCTCTATTGCAGAGAATGAACTTGATTTGAACATGTATTCTCTTACACGACTATTACAGGAACAATGATGCAAACAAGGCTATTGCAGAGCTTAACCACTACACAGTGACTGAGCAAATTCTTTCTGGGTAGGTGTAAAATTATTCAGATATTTTCAGCCCAGCCAGCAGAATGCAGGCAGCCTCTCTCATTTAGAACATCATCTCCCACTTACAGAGTGGTTATGGTAAATTTTTTTTCAGAATTACTATGCACTGTCTATTAACATTGATACTGAGAACTGTGACGGTAACATAGCCAAATAGTTAACTGCTTAACTTTAATTAAAGTACTTAAGATAAGTAATAAAAGATACCGTGTGTCTATTGAGAAACCTTTGGCACTGGCACATTCTCGAAGTTCAGTAAAAAATTCCTGTCGTGGTGGAGGGTGTCGACGCAACAAAGCTTGATGAGGAAAATTTTCTGAAATCTTTTTTGCCACCCAGTGGTTGGCAAGAATCATACATTCTGCTACAGTCTCGTGCACCTCCAGCGGCTGCTTGGGGATGAGATCATGGATATTATTTTTATCATCCAGTTGCACTCGGATTTCTACCCCTTCTAGTTCCAGAGCACCACAGCTGTCACGCTTTGCTCTAACGTGTCGAGCTATGTCGGTGAGTTTTGATATTGCCCAGACCAGTTCAGCCAACTTCTTCTGTCTGGTTCCGTCATCCAAGTTCTCCAGTTCCGGGATATCAGCAACAACACTTGTGTCTCCATCTAATAATCCCTGTGCTGCTTCGTAAACCAGCTTGTACGCCGATCGAATGATGCTTCTGTTGTAGCAGACTCTCAGCATCTCGTAGGACTCTTTTTCTAGCTCCCACAGGACACTTACAGC